TGTTTCTGCCTTAATGAAATCCTGTAGCTGGAGGAGGTGGGGCAGACACTCAGGGCTGAGCTTTTGTTCCAAACTCCTCTGTCAGGAGGACGGCAAAGCCCCTTCCCCTACTGATCCTGATTGCAAAACTCCTCCTCCTCTTGAGCCAAGATTTCCCACTGATTGCAGAGGGAGGGGTAAGATTTAGGCCTGGTGTAACTAATTGTTGAGAGAGATTTGCTATGGGATGTGCTTTGCAGAAGGAAGAGCCTGACTTGCCTGGTTGCATTTGCATCTATCCAAGTTCCAACTCCCACACACCCTTTCAGTCAGCACAGAAAGTCACCTTGGCCCTTCCCCACTTGGAAGCACTGAGCTCCAAAACCAGGGCTGGGATTAATCCTCAAGCCTCCTCCAATCTGGCTGCATTTCAGTTTGGCTGAGCAAGGAAATAAAGGATTGTGGCTTGGAAAAGCTTCTACTGCTGAGAGGCCAGAGATGTTCCTGTTTGGATCAATCCTGGGGCTGCTCCACGGGGTGGAAATCAGCTGGTGGTGTCAGGAATCAGCACTTAGAGGTGTCTTGTGTCACCCAGAGTAGCTGAGGGTGTAAGACAGAGCCATGTGTGCTCTGCCCACACCACAGACCCGGCGGGGGAACCAGAAACACAAACAAGGTTTGAAGATCTCCCCTGCAAGAAGAATTGTGGTGCTGAATCCACAGTTCTCACTCTACAGAGCTACACAAATGTCTGCCCACTCAGGAATTACTCACTCCTGCAGATTTTTCCCAAGCAGCAGGATTAGGTTTTGCTGCTCTTGAGTCTAAATTTGGGTGGGTTTGGGGGGCAGTCAGGGAGCTTTATCAGAGCTGGTTTGGCCTCAGTGAAATCTGGAGCTCTGGAGCAGGAGAAGGGTGGAATGTGGGACATCAGGGACCTGAAGCTGTCGGAGCTGCTCGTGGTCGACACCGAGGATGTTTTTAGGGTTTTGCTGAGTTGGAGCCTCTGAGAAGATCAGGAGAAAGCACTGATCCTGTGCTCCTGTATCATGGGATCCATCATGGGACAGGATGGGTTGTTTTTCCCTTCCAAATGGTCTAAATAAAACACAGAGGTGAGGTTGGAACAAGGGGCAAGCAGGAAAACATCCTCATTATATCACATAGGGCACAGAGACTGGGATGGGGAGAGGGAACACAGAAGGCTCTTAGCCAGGGCAGCAGCCTCCTGCTTTTTGGTTTAGTTTCAGCTTCCCTTACAATTCCTGCTGTTTATCCACTTTGCCCACACGGGAGCCAGAAGCTTTCCTGCTCTTTTCTGTCAAATTAAATTAATGGGGAGAAAAACCAACCACCCAGATGCTCCAAATCCCAGGCTGACACTGCAGAGCTTTGGCTCTTGCATCTGATCCTCAGTGTGGTTCAAAAGCAGCTCTGGAGGCACTTGGGGCGCTCAGAAAGGCAAAAGAGCAGCAATTTTTTGTGTTTTAAGTTGGGAGCTGAATTTTTCATCCAGCTCTGAAAGGCAGGATGTGGAATCCAATCCAACCCCGTTCTTTGCACACGTGATGGGGTTCATTTGCTGTGGGCAGTGCACGGGAGTTTTCCGGGGACTACATTGGCCAGATGAGCTTTTTTTGCTACTTTATTAGTATAAAAACAATTTTGGGAAGCTGCTGTGAGTGTGATGGAGGAGTCTCCCCCCTCTGCAGCTCCCACACTCCAGCAAACCACCTGGGAAGGCTGGAGATGGAAACCCAGCTGCTTGCACAGAGCAGTGTGTGTGTGCTTGGGAGATTTGACCCTTTGGGGGCAATTTGGTTTTTCTAAGATCACTCAGTCATCTTCTTCTCTGCAGCCAGCACAGGCCATGGAGAACAGCTCCAGACCCAGTGGCCCCAGTCAGAAATGGTCTGGCATGAGCTGGTGCAGCCACCCAAGGGCAGGACCATCGTGTCTCGTGGGTGCAGATCCCATTTTTGTGCAGGGAATAACAAAGGGAAGGGGTGGAACAGTCACCAACCAGCTGCTTACCTTTGGCTCATTGCATTTCCAAGCAGGGAGAAGAACCAAGGGGAGATGAAATGAACTTCTGGCTTTACAGTCTCTAAGAACCCAGATTGTCCTTCTGAAAGTGGCCTTGATTTGGATCTTTATGGGCAGCTCAGACCTTCCCCTTCTCCAACAGCACATGCTCTGCTGTCAGGGTCCCTCTCTCCCTCCTTTCCTTTTCTTTCTCATTCCCAGGATAACTGGGTTACAAAGGGATGCTCCCACATGCTCCATTTTAAGGGCTGGAATCTCCTGGTGCCTCTGGGACTGTTGGGTCAGGGATGTGATCATTTATGTGCATGGACTTGCCTTGTCTCCTAAACATTGTTGGAGGGTGGGAGAAGCTCCTCAACCCTTCAGGTGGATGGCAGCTCATTTATCAGTGTGAATTATAACGAGCTGGTTTGGCCTCTGTGAAATCTGGGGCTCTGGAGCAGGAGAAGGGTGGAATGTGGAATATCAGGGACCTGAAGCTGTTGGAGCTGCTCATGGTAGGGTTTTGCTGAGCTGGAGCCTCTGAGAAGATCAGGAGTGAGCACTGATCCTGTGGAAAATACACATTTTGGGATTCACTTAGTCATCTTTTAGTTGAAAATTGTTAAAGTAGGTGGGTGCTGTTTGCAAGATCAAGACCAGAATTTGTCAAGCAGTATTTTTAAATGCTGGATGGACGAATAACTCACACACCTGAAGGATGTGGAGCTGTTGGAGCAAGTCCAGAGGAGGCACCAAGCTGATCAGAGGGATGGAGCAGCTCTGCTGGGAGGAGAGGTTGGGAGAATTGGATGTGTACAGCCTGGAGAAGCCTTAGGGTGACCTGATTGGGCCTTGCAGTGACTGAAGGAGCTACAAGAAAGATGCAGACAGATTGTTTCCAAGGGCCTGGAGTGACAGGACAAGGGGTAATGGCTTCCCACTGCCAGAGGGCAGGGATAGATGGGATATTGGGAAGAAATTCTTCCCTGTGAGGGGGGGAGGCCCTGGCACAGGTTGCCCAGAGAAGCTGTGGCTGCCCCATCCCTGGGAGTGTCCAAGGCCAGGTTGGAGCAACCTGGGCTAGTGGAAGGTGTCCTTGCCTGTGGCAGGGGGTGGAACAAGATGGTCTTTCAGGTCCCTTCCAACCCTTCTGGGATTTGATGATGATTCTTTGATGGTTCTGTGACATTGATAAGAGCTAAGTTTTAGTGTGTCTGGTTTTTCTCCAGTCTGGGAGATGCTGCCACAGGACATCTTGTTTCCAGTGCCTTTGCTGACCCTGCTCCCCCTTTAGTGCTTCCCAAGTGCAGGAATGAAGCAGTAAGTTCTGAGAATGTGTATCTATCCAGTGTCTTGTGTGACAGTATTTCTGTGGGTTTTAAAAATTGCCAGGCCAGGATCTCTAAAATGCATCTCAAGCCATCAATAGGGGTTTTAATGGTCCCCTTAATTCAGAGTGAATTCCTCAGTGAGCCCTTGCCAGCCCCAATTTAGTCTCTCACCTGTTAAAATGTCAGTGTGTCACCTCTCAAAGCAGGGCTGGCAAAGTGGGACCTCAATAACGAGGTTCTTCAGTGCAGAATCAGCCCTGGAGTGCTCAGATGGAGTGCTCAGTTTCAGGGGGGATCAGGAACCTTTTCATGACAGCACCGGGCCCCTGTAGGTTCTGTACACGTTCACCCCACGGCCTCAGGAGGGGTTGGGGTTGTGTTCCATCCCCTGATTGACTCCTTAACATTTCAGCCTCCTCCTGCCCCTGGCTCTGGCTCCCAGACACCAGAGCTCCCCAGTCTCCTGGGCTGCTCCCTGCTCTGTCTTATACGGTTAAAATCAACACATGTTTTGTCTGATTAAAGGCAGAAGTGGAGTGAAAGTGCTTTGGGCTCTTTTGGCATGTGGTGCTGTACAGAAAAGCAGGGCACAGTTGCTACTATTCCATGGAGTGAATTCCTAGCACGTGACTGCATTTTCTCTCTCTCCTTCTCGCTGTTAATTTTTGCACAAGCAAGAAGCCTCTGCAAAGAGACATTAAAAATGCAATGTAATTTAAGAACTAAGGTTTCTCCAGAAATCAGAGAGCAGTTGGATTGGAAAGCATTGTCCTTAGGGTATGAACTCATGGCAATTCCTGGTTTGGTTCAGCAGTCTCTGGATGTGCAGGACTCAGCGTATGATCCACTGGCAAAGGTTCTCTGCTGATCCAGCTTCTTTTCTAGGACTTCACACACTGACATCCACTCCCTCCAGTCTTCTCCAGCCTGTGGATCCATCACAGAGTTGATTTGTGAAGGCCTGCAGCAGGCTGGAGGTCAGCCAGAGCAAACTGCACATCCTTTCCCCCAAGGAATCTGGTGCTGCTCAACTTTTAGGCCAAACACAAACAGAGGAGTCAGCCTTTGGCCACAGACCTCTCGTGGGTGGGACAAATGCCTTGTTAGCAAAACTGGAATGGTGAAGCACTTGGGATTCCCTGTGGGAAAGTGTCACCTTTCTGTAGAAGTTGGGAGCAGCTCCCTCTGCTCCCTGCTGAGTTTTTATGCATCAGGCTGCAAAACCACATTGCAGAGCTGAGAGACCCAGAAAGTGTCACAGCCCCAAGGCTGCCAGAGCTCTGTGAGGGTTTGGATGATCCTCTGGGGCCCAGGGGATGGGCCTGTGCAGGGCTGAGGGTTGGACTCCATGATCCTTGGGGGTCCCTCCCAACTCAGCACATCCTGGGATTCTGTGAAATCCAAGGCACTGTCAGAAATCAGCGTTGGGTGACGACATCATCGGTTGGTTTGGCACAGCCCCGTGGTCATGGATGTTGGAAGTTAGAGATCCAGGAGCCTGGAGTCATTGGGAAGTTCAGGATATTTCTGCAGACAGAATTTAGGTGGGAGCATTTCCATCCATGGTAGTCTGGGCCTGGGATCAGGGATGTCAGGAATGGTTATTGACAGCTGGAGCGGCTTCGCTCTGTGGGGAAATGAGGGAGCTCTGAAACAGCCCTGTAAGCACCTCAAAGGAGCTGAGTAATGCATTTATTTTTGACAACTCCTTGCTTGCAGCCTATTGGCAGGAAGGGCAGCTCCCAGGTTTATCTTCCCCTTCACGCATCTGTAGCGCAGAAACACAATTCCTGGGAAATGTAACAGATCCAGTCTGTGCCTCCAGCGTCGAACAGCAAATGTCACTCTCATTTCTCAGAGCTTGGGCTTTGTTTTGGTTTGAACACTGAGTGAAGCGGAGAGAAAATAAAAATGAAAAGGGGAAGAACTGTAGTGAAATGTAGAGCTTGGTAAAGATGATTGCCGGGGAAGGGAGCTCAGGGGTGGAGAGGTGGGTTTGGATCCACCTCCCTCTGGGTCAGTGCAGATCTACCCATCCACAGTCAGATGGCCCAGTATTTGCAAAGGGATTGATCAAAACTGCCTGTTTAAGGGTCAGGCAATGCAGAGCTTCAAAAGCAGAAATCCCATCCCATGCCAGGTATTTATCACACCAAAAGACCTGTGAAAGGCTGTGTTTCCTCCCTCAGCTGCACAGCCTGGGCTTGGCAAGAGCTCTCTGAAAAGGCAGCCCCACTGAGCCCAGTGCAGCAATGCAATTATTGTAGATCTTCTGCTGACTTCAAGTTGGTCCAAAGCTCAAAGCCTGAGCACCAGTGTAGCCAGTGACTGACTTCTGGAATGGGACCCCCACAACATGAGCCCGCTCTGAGACAGTTTGTCGGGGGTTTTTAATTTTTTTTTGGTGGGGGATGGTGGCTTTGGGCTTTTTGTTTGGTTTAGTTTGTTGGTTTTGAGCTTTTTAATCACCAAATGCATTGATTTTTTAATTCAGAGAATCCCAGAATGGTTTGCTTTGAAAGGGACTTTAGAGATCACCCATTTCCACCCCTCTGCCATGGGCAGGGACACCTTCCATCAGCCCAGGTTGCTCCAAGCCCCGTCCAACCTGGCCTTGGACACTTCCAGGGATCCAGAGGCAGCCGCAGCTTCTCTGGGAAACCTGTGCCAGGGCCTTACCACCACCCTCACAGGGAAAAATTCCTTCCCAATATCCCATCTATCCCTGCCCTCTGGCAGTTTGAAGCCACTCCCCCTTGTCCTGTCCCTCCATCCCTTGTCCCCAATCCCTCTCCAGCTCTCCTGGAGTCCCTTTAGGCACTGCAATGGGCTCTTAGGCCTCCCTGGAGCCTTCCCTTCTCTGGGTGAACACCCCCAGCTCTCCCAACCTGGCTCCAGAGCACAGAGGCTCCAGTGTTTTGGAGCCCTCAACTCCCATTGAAGTCTTGGATCCAAGGCCCTCCTAAATGACAAAACTCTCAGCAAGTCCTGGACTTTAAAAGTGCCAAGAGTTCACCTTCAACATTTAGGAGAAGAAAAAAAAGGTGTATGACTTACAGGTTGATGCCAAGGGCCATCCCCAGGCAGCTCCTGCCCTCTGGCACCTGCTAATGAAGTAACTGTGCCAGCTGGGATGAATTGGCTCAGCCCTGGGCACAGGCTGCACCAGCCCAAGGAGGACTGGCCCTGGTGAAGAGCCAGGATTGAACTTCTACACTGCACATGGTGGGAGCTTGTTTGCCACCAGCATTCAGGGAGCAAAGGAAATGCAGCAAACAGGACCTTTTTTCCCTCCAAGTTGTCATCCCCAGGAATAAAACATCATCACACACTCACACAGGAGAAGTGAGCATGTTCATTCACAGGGACTTCTTTCCAGAGCCAATCCTCTGGGGCACAGGGGGTGACTCCTGGGGCTGGGCCTGTGCAGGGCTGAGGGTTGGACTCCCTGATCCTTGGGGGTCCCTTCCAGCTCAGCACATCTTGGGATTCTGTTCACAACCAATTTGGCAACAAGGACTAAAAGGGAGGAGGGTGAGGGAAGGCTGGTTCCCCCCAGCCCAGGGCTGGCACGGGCACAGATTCCTCTCCTAGAGGGACCTGCCCATCCCCACCATGGTGCAGGTTGTGTGAGGTCACAGAGTCACAGAATCTTGGAAGGGATCCCCAAGGATCACGGAGTCCAACCCTCAGCCCTGCACAGGCCCAGCCCCAAGAGTCACCCCCTGT